CCCGAGAGCCTGCGACCTCCACCTACAGTCCCGTGCGGGAACCTCGGAGCAATGGCCCTGCTGCCACAGGCATTTCCATCTGTCCCATCAACTCCCATCCCAGGACAACACTGGGTTCAGCTGGGACAAGACACGGGGTTTTAATGCTGGCAATCTGCATTCCAGGATGGTGGTCCCCCACTCTGTCCTCCCACAGGCCCAGGCGGCAGTGGTGGCCACAAAGCGCAGGCCTGTCTGGCAGGCACCTCCCTGACAGCAGCTGTCCTCTGGGTCACTCAAGCCAAACTGCTGTGTGAACTGAGCACACTCCTCTCCCTGCTCAGAAAGCTCCAGCCACGGAATCTCTGGGTCACACATTCATCCCCAGGGGTAAGAAAACCCCGCCCAACCCCTCCCAGTGTGTCTGCTCCCCCGCCTCCAGCTCTCCCCTGGACATTCAGCCCCACGCGTGCCCGTGATGCCTCTCTCCTGCCAGTGTCAGGGCTCCCCTCCAACACGGTCCAGTGCACATGCCTGCCACTGCGTGCAGAGCCACCTCCCTGCACAGACACACAAGGCCAGCCCTGCCACCTCTCCACCAGTCAGGCCATCTCCTTCCAGCTGAGGCTGGGACACCTGCAATGATGTCCCGCAGAGAACCGTCCACAGGAGCACCCAGTTAAGAGTCTCTGCCCACGCTGCTCCCCTCAACTCCACCTCGCTCAACCCCCATCCTCCAGCCATGCATCCCCCCACCTCCTGCTGACGACACCCAAATCTCCTCCCAGGACTGGGGTGCATCCCCCATATCCCCTCCCAGGACTGGGGTGCATCACCCCAGAATCCCTCGCTGGGCTGGGGTGCAACCCCAGATCTCCTTCCATCACTCACTGTGCTGCCTTAGCGGTCTAAGTGACCAGCAAAGACTCCGGAAGCAGGTCCTTACAGAAGTGTGTCATTAACAGAATTGAAACATGAAATGCAGGTGATTCCAACTAGCGGTGTGGTAGAGGGTCCCTCACCTGTAACTCAAGAGGCTGCAGCTTCACACTGACACAGGGGAGGCCTGGGCAGAGCCGCCACAGCCACCTGCAGGCTCTCTGGATCGCCAGGCAGTCCCCAGGCACACGCCAGTGGGCCACACATCGGTGGGGCACACGCCAGTGGGGCGCACGCAGGTGGGGCACACGCCAGTGGGCACACACCAGTGGGGCACACACCAGTGGGGGACACGCAGGTGGGGCACACGCCAGTGGGCACACGCCAGTGGGGCACACACCAGTGGGCACACACCAGTGGGGTACACACCAGTGGCCACACGCCAGTGGCCACACACCAGTGGGCACACGCCAGTGGGGCACACGCCGGTGGGGCACACACCAGTGGCCACACACCAGTGGCCACACACCAGTGGGCACACGCCAGCGGGGCACACACCAGTGGGCACACGCCAGCGGGGTACACGCCAGTGGGCACACGCCAGCGGGGCACACGCCAGTGGGCACACGCCAGCGGGGCACACGCCAGTGGGGCACACGCCAGTGGGGCACACGCCGGTGGGGCACACGCCAGTGGGCACACGCCGGTGGGGCACACACCAGTGGGCACACGCCAGTGGCCACACACCAGTGGGCACACGCCAGTGGGGCACATGCCGATGGGGCACACATCAGTGGCTACACACCAGTGGGCACACACCAGTGGGCACACGCCAGTGGGGCACACGCCGATGGGGCACACATCAGTGGCCACACACCAGTGGGCACACACCAGTGGGCACACGCCAGTGGGGCACATGCCAGTGGGGCACATGCTAGTGGGGCACACGCTACTGGGGCACATACCAGTGGGGCACACGCTAGTGGGCCCAGTGCCCACAGTGCCTGGGAGCTGGCAGGGCCCCGCTGGGCCCCCGCTGTTCCTTCCGCCATCCCAGAGGGACAAGGCTCCCTGCACGGACGTCAGCAGTGGGACACAGGGAGGAGGAGCGCAGCCGTGGTGCGATACAACCTCAAAGGCTCAAGGGAGTTGACAGAAAAACTGCAGTGAAGGTGGGGACTGCTGAGGTCTCAGGATCGACTCGGGGAACTCACGAAAGTCATGTCCTCACTCAGCACTAGGGTACCCAAAATCACCTCCGCTTTAAAGCAACTGAGGAAATCGCAAAGGCAAATGATTCTTCCATTTAAAAATATAAAAGAGTGAACTTTTATACAAAGAAAAGCAAAGCTAGAGAAGCAGACATGGAGAAACCCAGGGCCCCTTGCTGACGGAGCGTCGGTCTCCGTGTTACGGGCGAGCTGCGCGTCCAACCGCCGGGAGAGGCGGACGTGACCGGGCGGAGGGCCGGGACGCAAAGCAGCACGGAAGAGGGACACGCGTGAAGAAGTCGTCATCGGATTCAGTAAAAGGGACGGGGCCGGTTAAACAGGAGGCGCCCAGTCCTAACAGAGAGAGACAGGGGGAAGAAAGGAAGGAGAGAGACGGACACAGAAGAGGGTGAGGGGAGAAAGAGGGAGACACCAGACACTGGGGGCAGCTCACCAGCACCCCCACCGTCACCAGGCCCCACCCAGAAGCTCCCACCACTGGGCGGGCAGGGCCCGGCAATCTGCATTCCGACAGGCTGCCAGCGCCCCAGCTGGCCCCAGGCCCCATGCAGGGCACACCGATGCCCAGAGCCGAGTGTGACCAGACGTGACGTCCAAAGCTACGAGGAACACAAGTCTTGAAAATACCCTAGGAACTAAGGAGAGAAATGACTTCATATTTATACTCCTAAAAATGTGACTAAGGGAATACTTCACATTGAGAGGAATAAACATGCGCATGAAGAAAATAACTTTTTTAGAACATGGTGTGTAAATGTCAGATGCTGAGAACACTGGCAGGACATGCGTTAAGGGGAAGAATAAGCAGATGTTTTAAATCACATTTATAACATGAGTGGGTACTTCGTGCAAAATGTTAAGTCAAAACACAGTAAATAAAATTATAGACACACAAAATTGACAATTATATGGGGGGAAAATATGCATAAAAGCTAACTAAACCTTAAAAATAAACGGCATTCAGCTGGGTTAACTGAATTGGGTGACATTTATCATTTTGAAAATTTCCTGCTTAAGAACATCAGCTCTGCAGTTAGAACTTGGATGGGTCTCTGAGCCTCCCTGAGTCTGCATGTCCTCATCCACAAAGCTGAGAAAATAATCCCTTGCTCACAGAGCTGCTATAAAGCCAAGTGAAATGATGCACGTTAAGCTGCAAAGTCTAGACAAGAAAATATTAGGAGCCAAGACAGTCCATAAGAGAGGCAGCAAAAGTCAGAGGAGAAATGAAAATAGACAAACAGAGAGGAAGTGGGAAAGGAAAATGTGGAAAAGGAGATGGGAAAAGAAAAGGATGATTCCGAAATACACACAAGCACAGCCCACAAAAAGGTCTTTGCTTTCACCAGTACAGAGGGTGTATTGAAGGGGAAAACAGGGCTTCCAGAGATTCACTTCTGGGATCCTGTGGAGGTAACAGAAATAAGGTCAAACGCCTCTCAGAAAGTACAAAGCAGATATCTCCGCCAGTGTTGACAGCACCGATCTAAGAGAAAATGCGCAGAAAATGCATGGTCTCAGAAGCTGCATGATTTATGCACACACACTCATATACACTTAGGTACGACACACGCGTCAACAAGCATGCACACATATACATGTATCCCCACATACACTCAGACAGACATATGCAGGCACATACATGCATAGACATATAGGTGTGCCCACACAGACATGCACATCCACCTGAGTGCAAAACCACACAAACATGTAACAATAGAGACTTACAGGCACGCGTATGCATGCATGCATACACATGTGCACACACATCCACACAGACGCACAAGTGCACGCATGTAGAGACAGAGGCAAATGTGCACTTAACCACACATGCATGTCTACCAGTATGCACATATACATATACACACACACGTACCACCTCCCACATATCTAGCCACATGCACATGTCCTCCCACACATTCATACACACGACAACATACACATGATTTAAAATACACATGTGATCTATTTCTCAACTATACCCTACTTTTATTGTAAATACTAGGAATCATTATGATATCTATACATGAAAAGAAATGTGTTTTAAAATTTATAGTCACTATAACAATATCTTGTATTTACAATAAAAGTAGAATAAATATGGTTGAGAAGCAGACCCTATCTGTTCCACCACCAGCACAGCCACAAGCCGAACCTCAGCAGTCTGGTGCCACAGAGGCCTTTGGGCCCCAAGGCTGGGAGAAAAGTCCGGATAATTCCAGTTAAGGGGCCTGGAATGCGCCAAGCCACACCCAGAGCTCCTGGCGCCTCATTCCTGGGCCCACATGGTGGGCACAGGCCCTGGGCAGCAGACAAGGACATACAGGGATGAGCCACAGAGGGTGCTGGGAACCCAGGCGTGGCTCCCTCCAAGCCACTGTGCTTTCCCGCGTGGCTGCTTCACCCTGAGAACGTGGGTGATGGTCACGCTGCTCCTCCAGCCTTGGCGAGGAACCCAAGGAGGGTGCTCACGGCCTGCTGCAGATGCCACCACCACCACCACCATGACTCCTCTACATCTCCCAGGCACAGGGACATCTCCACACCCCAGAAATGCCAGTGCGCTCTAGGGCCAGCACGCTGAGCTGCATTTGGGGCTAGTGGGAGCCCCAGGCCAGCGGGTCAGGGCCAGCTGCATGGTCACATTCACCCAAGGCACAGCCAGGACCTACCTGGTCCTCCCGAGGCAGCTGAACCTACTCCAGCTGCGTCCAGAAGACAACACGCCCAAATGCCGCACCCAGAGCGGCTGTCTCCCGGTGCCCCCATCTCTCGAGAGCTGCTCGGCCCCCACCAGGCAGCCCACCCATTTGATTCCTGTAAACCTCAAGGCGTCTCCTCCACAGCCCCAGACACCAACGCGTACCACTGGGAAGTGTGGCCAGTGTCAGACTGGCCCCGGCCACTGACCTGCTTCTCGTTCTCATCCTCCAGCCTCAGCCGGTCCTCGATGCAGCTCCGGGCCTGCAGGAACGCCTTCCTCTGCGAGCGCTCGGTCAGGATCCGCACGAAGACCCCGTACATGTTCACGCCAACGAAGAGCAAGGCGTTGGCGCCGAGCTGCAGGGAGAGAAGGGGGCAGCATGTGGGCCTGATGTGCCCACGTGCATGGAGGGGCCCGAGCTGTCCGGAGGGCGCAGCAGACACTCCCAGACGGCCACGGCCGCGGGGCCTCCGCTGCACCGCAGGCCCTCGGCACACGCTGGCTTCACACCGGCCGGGCAGCGAGTTCACTCTCGTCCTGTGTGGGTAGGCAGCATGCACAACCGCACATCGGGGAATGGAAGGGTCTCCAGGCCTGGTGTCACAGCTGACTTGCGTCCCCCAAATTCATACTTTGAAGTCCTAACCCCCAGGACCTGTAAAATGACTGCATTTGTGTACAGAGTCTTTAAAGAGGTAATTAAGTTAAAATGAAGCCATTAGAGTTGCCAAAAATCCAATCTGACTGATGTCGTTATACAACGGGAGATTAGGACCCAGACACACACAGAGGGACCATCCTGTGGGGACCAGGGAGAAGACAGCCATCTGCAAGCCCAGGAGAGAGGCCTCAGGAGCAGCCCTGCCAGCACCTCGATCTCAGCTCCCAGCCTCTAGACATTGGGAGAATAAGTTTCTGTTGTTTAAGTTGCCCAGTGCCTGGCACGTGGTTTGGGCAGCCCCAGGAAACCAGTACCCCTAGAAAGCATCAGTGTGAAGAGTCCCTTTCCCACAAAGGCTACACGGGAATGCTCTAGACTCAGGGAAGGTAAGTTGACAAAAAAACAAAACAGGATGCCATTTGGGGTAGGAAGTGAGCAACAGCACAAGGCGGGAGACGCGGCGACCAGAGGCACCGGCACTCAGTTCCGCCCCCACTGTGGCGCAGGAGACACGAGGACGGGGCTGGGCTGAGGAGCCGGTACCAGCAGTGGGCCGAGACGCGAGGCTCAGGTCTAGGCTCAGACCGGGGCGCAGGCCAGACACGGTGCTTCTCTCCGCAGCCACTGCCCACCGTCCCCAGCCGGCCCCCTCTCCGGTCTGCCCCTACATCTCGCAGACCGCTGAGCCCCGGGCCTGGGCAGAGGGGCCTCTGGTGAACCACACGGGGCTGCAGCACGTCCTGCCGGGGGCCCTGCAGTGGGGCTGCGGTTCCGAAGCATCGCATGAAACAGCTCTCCCTCGGTCAGCTGCAACACTGGAGAATTTCTATGTCTGATTAAGCCCAGGCGTCTCTACCTCTGCCCCAGGGAGCAGAAACCTGCAGGTTCCAGCTGTCACTACTCCACACGGATTAAACATGAATGTATGCCGCACGCTATTAAACAGAGAACAGAGAACAAAAACAAACACGTTGGCAGGCGGAGCGGCTGATCACTGACAGGGAGCTCCCGCAAGAGTCCAGGAGGCGGACCGGTGGGGAGACACAGGTATGGAGGCGAGGACAGGCACCAAGAGGGGAGCCCTCAGGTGGCTCGTGGAAGGAGACCTGGCAGCACCTGCCCCCCGGAAGGGATGCTGGAGTTGGAGAGCAGGCGCAAGAGCTGGGACCAGCCAGGTTCAGGGGCCACAGGGAGCAAGGTCCACAGGGAGATGACAGATTTGGGTACCTTCAAACTCGAGGCGTATGAGATGGGCTCAAAGATGTGTCCATCAGCAGGCTGAAAAACAAACCTATGGCCAATGGTCATGTGCAACCTAGAACATAGAGTCAGTCTCTAGGAGGTGACAGGGAGGGAAGATGAGGGACAGCAAGCTGCAGAACCCCAGTGGACAGCCATCCTCTGCCTCCTACGGGGGACCTGGCCCCCGCCCAGCACAGTGTGCCACAGGCAAGGCAGACACGCCCGCCTGGCTGTGTGGGGCCAGGGACATTGCACACCACATGCTGGCAAGGCAGTGAGCCGTCCTTCCTGGATGGCACCACCCTGACCACAGCCTCTGGGCTGGCTGTCACTTGTGAGGGGGCTGGAGAAGATGGCAAGACATCTAATACGATGGTGCTCCTGGACCCTGAAATCTCCACTGTGACCCTGAACCTCTCCATATGACCCGAGCATTGCCATATGTCCTTCCCTCGGTGCTTTCTGAGGAGCTGTCATCGTCGAGTGGATACAGCTTAGATCCAGCTTGTTCCATGAACATGGCACAGAGCACACTAGGATGTGTTCGGTGCTCAGAATCACCGAACACCTGGATGGGTGTGCGGAAAGGGTCAGGGCAGGAGGAGGGAGCTGGCGACACTGCGTGAGGGGTGGGGCGGCACTGGAGCCGCCAGAGCTGAGCTGGTGCAGCCCAAGGGGGGGTTTTGGGAGGTGCATGAAAACACGCACCACCTGACAACAAACATCACCTGAAAACATCACCGGAGTGGGCTTCTCACTGTGGGAGGGGAGGGGTGGTCACCAGGCTGACGCCACCCAGCCCTTAAAACAAAAACGTTAATCAAGAACAAAAGCTCCCTTTGAGACTGTCCACGTCTTAGCTTCCTTTCTCCCCTGGTTTCCTCCTAGAACACAGTGGGCTTAGATTACAAGCTTATGGCAAGGGGCCCACGGGCGGGATGGGGGCAGGGCACAAAGCAATGATGGGGCAGCTCATCAAGATGCCTCCCCTCCCGTGTGCATCAGAGCCCTCCCGCATCGGGGCAGGCCGGGGCTGCAGGAGGGACGCTGGGCCCCGTCTCTGCACTGCACAGAGGTGCCCGGAGCGCTGCCCCAGCCCGGGAGGCTCCACTCATAGGGAAGCACTGACGCGCTCTTCCCAACGCAGCTCCCCATGTCTGGGAGCGACAAATCTGTCCTTGCTAGAATGGGGCCGCCATGCACTGCTGTTAGGATGTCTGAGGGCCATCCTCACCAACAAAACCAACGCCCCCACGAGAAGCTTCAGACCCCCGGGGGCCCCTTGAAGGGAAAGTCTCCCCCAGCCAAACCCCATCTCTGTGAGCTGGGGCAGCCTCCCCTCGGGAAAACCCACCGAGGGGCTGCTGAGAAGGGACTGCTGGGGAAAGACATTTGGGGAGGACTGTGCCCCGCCCAGGCTGCGTGCCCCACATCTTCCCAGACCCGGCACGTCCACCCGCCAACTGCACCTGCTGACGCACACACCACCCAGGGCTCGGGCTCTCCCAGGAAGCTCTCTGAACTCATGGCCAAAGGGGCATTTGGGTCAAAATAATGCCTGGCCCATTACAAGACAGTGGTGACATGGCTCAGCACATGTCACAACAACAAAGGAGGTGGGCTCAGGGTCACTACAAGCTCCCCAGGGACCAGAGCTCTAGGGACTGCTGGACCCTGGGGGAGAGGGGGCCTCACTCCCACCCCACCCTGCTGGCCAGCCACCCTGGAGCAGCGGATCCCATTCTGGCCCTCCTCGGAAGTGGCCTGGTCCAGGCCACCCACATGCTACCACCGCACCCACCAGTCACATTAGCCCAGGGCCGCTTACCACTAGGCAGGCCCCACATGGGCCTCGGCTGCTGGCCTTGCAGTCTGGACACCCTCCCTGGCCCTTGTCCTAGCCAAGGGCTGTGCTGGGCTGTGAGAGACGAAGGGAGCCCAGGTGTCCTCACCAGAGCCAGACCCTGCCCTGCCCCACCTTCTACCTGCACTACCTCTCTGTGCCTCACTCTCTCCCTCTGACTGATGGGCAGGTGGGTGACAACTATCATACCTACCAAATGAGCTTATCAGAAAGACCTAAGAAATAACCCCAAAAAGGGCACCCTGGAGAAGCCTTCATGGGACTGACCAGCCCAGGCAGGCGGAGCCTCCCAGGGAACAGGGCTCAGGTAGGCTGAGCAGCAGCATGTGCCCCGGACGCAGTCAGAGGCAGCAGGACCTGCCTGCAGGCCCTGGGGCATCTCTAATCACTCACACACCACCTGAAAACAACACCGAGAAACCTCGCCAGAGCAAGCTTCTCACTGTGTGAGGGCAGGGTGGTCACTGGACCACATCCTGGGGGAGCCCTGAGACCTGTCCCCCAGATGTCCCACAGTTTTTGCAGAAACCATTGTCCCAACCTGACACCATCATCCCACACCCCGAAATACTTACCCCACCTCCCCTGGGCCATGTCCAGGGACAGCTGCCACTGCCCATGCCAGAACCTGCAAGTCCCCTGGCCTCTCTCCTCCCTCATGTCTTCATCAGTTCCTGCCCTGAAAGCCCCATGCCACCTTCTCTCCATCCCACTGCCCTGTACCACCCACAACTGGGCTGTAGCAAGAGTCCCTCTAGGCAGATCCTGCCATAAACCCAGGCTCCATCTCTCTGGCTCACTGCAGACTGCCGAGCCCTGGGCTCACCCCTGACCTGCCCATTATACCTCCACCCTGTGTGCAGGGCACGCAGCACACATATGTGCACACAGGCGCACACACAGAAGCACATGCCCAGCCACGCTAAGGCACATAGCCCCGGGCAGATCATGCTCTCAGGCACATTCCCCTCACAGCAGCCTCGGCCAAGAGGCTTTCTCAGAGCAGCCTCCTGACCCCTGGACTGGGCTAGGTGGTCTCCTCATCCCATGATACCCCAAGATTACCCTATTGGGGACAAAAACCTCTCTGCTGTACTCGCTCCCGTTTTCAACCTGCTGCCACCCTGGCTGCCCCAGCACAGGGCACCGAGCCGGGCAGTATTCAAACTAGTCGTGGGGACGGAGGAACGGCTGCGGTGCTGCGCTCCAAACCCGCCGGATCTGAGAAGAGGGCACGAGGGTGTGGATGCAGGGCCCTGCTGGGAGGGGGGTGCTCTCTCACATGAACACACAGCACTTTGGCCACAGGCCAATGGAGGAGCCCACCCCACACAACGGCTCCCGCTCAGCACTGGGTATATTCTCCTTGGCAGGTCCAGGGACTGCAGCCAGGCCACATCATTTCCCCAGCCTCCGGTCTGCAGGGCGGCCCTCTGCACTCCCCCCGACTGAGCCCTCAGTGGACACATCCAGCCCTGCCTTGGTGCTGGACAGTGGCTGGGTGCTGCCTGTGCCGTCATTCTCTCTAGGCCGTGGCTGCCGCTTCAACGCTGCACACAAGTGTGTTCTTAAATTAACATAATTGCTTG